TACAAAACCAATTATTTGAAACAGAAACGCAGTTGTTTGTCTTAAAAGCTTGCAGTTAGAGAAAAAAGTTTTTATATAGTATTGCCTTTGGTGCCACATTTTTTAACCGCAGAAAGGCAACAGGCCATTCGTCTTTGTGATATTTTTAAAGAACCAGTCATCAATCAGAACGTAATTGATGACCAAACATTATTGTTATTACGCTAACTTAAGTTAAGTCATCAAATTTCCCTAATTGATTCATTTTCTAGTCAACATTTAGGTCTTGCATATTTTGCAGCATTTGATTAGATATTAAAAAAAAGGGACATTGACAGTTCAGCTACTTTTTTCGAAGTGAATTATACTTAAAAAATAAGCAAGTTTGATGACAGACTTGCTTACAGCAACACTTACATCAAAAGAAACGAACTGGGAGCAAATCAAATAGGTGACACCAAAGAAAGGAGCTTCCTGAAGTCGCCGCCAAAGCGGTCCGAAAGAGAGTCCAGGGGCTCGTGGTGGCCATCCATTAAGCATATCGTTGTATGTGCGATAGGTGTAGTAGGGGCCTTAAGGTATTAGACAGTTAAAGACAGTGTAAAGATTATACAGAAATTTCAGTTGCATACATCAAATGTCCTAATAGGTCCAAGAAAAAAGAATATTAGAATGCTAATATTTGAGTCTTATAGTTGTAAAAAAGGGAATTTTGTATTTTACCAAGGAATTAAGAAAGCATTTTAAAACGCTACACAACATCTGCTTACCTGTAAGCATTCCTATGTAGCAAAGTACGTAGCTGACAACATCATATGGTGTTGTCAGTATCCCCTTATATTTAAGCATTAAGTTAGACGTTTCTTGTAAGATATAACTGTTTCGCTTATTTGATTTCAGTGTATTAATAGTACTCCAAGTATCGTGCAGCTCGAATGATACTCCAACGACCTGAGGAAATAGTTGATAAAAATGGCATACTTTTAAAGTAGTGAATAGATGAAACATTTTTGTCAAAGGAGATGGTTTGCTAAAGCCGTATAAGTGAGCAGTGTGAAAAAATATGAGGTATGAGAATCCCCACAGAAATACAGCGTAGTGAATAAATCTGAAGGTAAGATGACCAGCAGCTTACCTAAAGCTGACAAGAGAATAAAATATAACAAAACCTCCTATTAACGCAAGTGCGTGCCAGACCTCAGAACCACATATTACTAATGCTGATGTCAGTCCGAGAGCCATGCAAACGAAGCGTTTTATATCCCCTCTGGCCCTCCTTACAATGCAACCTGCAGCAACAGATGTTCCCAAAAAGGCTGTGTATAAAATATTTTGTTGAAACATATAAAATTTGAGTAAGTTATTCCGACGTATATTTACTCCAGGAAAATGGGAAAATCGAAGAAGCGCTACAGCTAATGCTACAACTGCAGCCTTGTGCTTTGATTAGTTAAAACAAAATGTTAAGTAATTTAAAACGCACAGATGCTGCACCGTTTAAAAGCAATTAAAAATGTACTTAATTAAACTTTTTTATAAAGGCAGATTTTTGTCAAAAATTAAGATCAAAAGCCTTATTGATGATAAGTGTCAAATAATAGTGGATTTTCACATTTCCTGTAGTATATTTTTATTATACACTTGCCACTAATACTTAAGATTTTACCACGTAGTTGCTCGAAAAGTGTGCCAGAGTGGGAAAATAGTTCTGGTTAATGCTCGGGAGATTGTCACGAAGCTATGCCAACGCGTTTTACGCGCTATGTATCAGCAGCGCATGAAAAAAATCGTCAAGAAATAACTACTTATGTTCCACAGCTTTCACCTTATAAGTATATGTGGCTTTTATTCCCTAACTGGAACGTGATGAGAAGTGGCTTTTGTCTTCTTCCATTGAGCTAACGAACTTTCCATTGGTTATCTCCTAACAAACCACTGTGCTGTAAAAGTGGACATTGGTAAACCTATTCTTTGTGTGAAAATAAAATATGGGACTCATAAAATTTCTGAGAAATTGATTAATAAAAACGGCTTTATGTACTGTTCAAATCCCAGTTTGGTGAAGTCAGCGATCGCTATTCAAGAGTTGTTGCAGTACGTTGAATGCTTGTTTAACCCTTGGTTTTGGTAAGGGGGCTACTTAGGTGCTCCGCCACCGAGCCTTCTCTAGGTGGGCTGGGATCCTGGTCAATCCGGCAGCCCCAAGCCCTTCACTAGGTCGACACCGCATATTCTGCCAGAGTATTGTGTCTTCTAGCGTTTTCAGGGAAGTCTCCGGATGGCACTATTACCAGAAAAATTAAACATATGGCTCTGCATCTAGTCCACGAAGTTCACATAAATTAACAAAATAATTAGCAAAACAAATTTATGTGGAAGCGGTTGATCACAAACCGACATTCCCTGATGCTTGTTTTCATCTACTGTTGGTACGAGGTTTGTGAGACCCGTTTGCTTAGCTGTGCAATTCAAAAATTTCTTGAACGTTTTAGCCACCTAATACAATATCAGTTGAGGTTGCTTAGCTCCTGCTGCAATTTACTTGTTATTATAGAACTCAGCTTAGCTTTATCAGTTCGCAACTTCCCATGCAAATGTAATACGGTGCCTGGAAGAAGGTTCCCAAAGAATGTAATAATTATCATAATGAATTGGCTTATTTTCTGATTTTATTCGTCTACCAATTATTTTTACTATAAATGGCGTTCCACTTGTGGCGAAGAGTGGAACTTCTTAGAATGTGGTGTAATAATTACTTGTGGTGGCACTTTATTCCACCGTTTACTAACTCACGTAACCTTTGTAATAGTTTCTCAATTCCTATTCTTAAACGTTCACGCTTCATTCGCCGTAGTGAGGCGTGATTTTTAAGCATTAACTACCACTTGAAAATGAGTCACGATGGAGTCCGTCGTCATTAAATCGGCTATTTGAAAAGATTGCCTTTCCTTAATGATTAAAGCCAATGATAATGTCAACTTTACTACTTGGCTTTCCTCTCATGATCCGTAATAAATATCAGTAAATGTTGTTTATTTGGTGCATAAAATGTAAGGGCAGGCGGCATGTTTTAACTACTGCATTTAATCGAAGTCATGACTTTTCCGTCTTTCCCAAGGCTTGTTTTGTTCTTGATGGATTCCTAATTTTTTAAATGTCTAATGGTCTCTCCCACATGTTTCTCAACTACTTATTGATAATCCTTTAAATTTGTTTACTATGGGAGTCAACGGGATTTTAGTGACTCATCGTTGACCCTTGTTTAGCGCTCCCAAGGCTTCGCTGAAGAAGAGAGAGGACAATACTCTAGCAGAATGCGTATTGAAGGGCTTAAGGCTACTGGCATGGCGCGAAGGCCAGAGAGCCCAGCGGAGATACAAATGCGGAGCCACTAAGCTGCCCATTACCAAAACCGAGAGTTAAACAAACATCTAACTTATTAGACCTGTATTTGTTAGAATTGGAACTTTGAACTTGAATTTATTGTTATATTTATAACCATCTGTATTTGTGCTGCGCGTTGTGCTTAGCTATCTGCGACCATCACGTGTTTAAGCATAATTATGTTTGGTTTTGTGATCAAATTATAGCAACATTTTCATACGATATAAAAGTGTTGATTTTGGGTTTCATTTTAGTAACAAACAGAGTACTAGGTCGTTTACTGTCTGAAACGACACTCGAATAAAAGTTGCGATTCTGTTCAACTCTTGAATGCTCATTTTGGGAAGCGCATTTCGTGTTTCGTTGTTGGTACCGGTTCTATTTCCATTGCACCAGCTCTACTGGCAAATCTAAAAGCGAAGTCGCCCATCAAGGGCTATTTTGTAGCGTCCCGAGACTCCCT